TGGCGGAGTGATGGGGTACCTATTTCAGAACTACTCCTGAGAGAAAAGTGGAAGCAAATTAATTCCAATTTAAAAATAGAGGAGCCTAATGTAAATGAACAATATACAGTACAAAGTTTTAATTCGGACTCATCGGGACTTCGGCGATTCTGGATTATAGATCATCAATTTAAATCTGGTAAGATGGCATGCAGAATTTATAAAATTAAAAGTATGAAACTGTAATTTATGAAATAAAGAGCAATTAAGATCTAAAGGGTATCAAAATTTAAAAAAAAAAAAAAAAAAAGCTTAATATTTATTTGTTTACTTTATTAAACATTTCTTTCAATGTAAGTTGTTTAAGTTGCTTCGTTTTATGTGATAATACTTTCTTTTTAATTCTATAAACAGACATAATTTCTTGTTCAGTTACAAAGTTCCTCTGTTCTGAATATTATCTTTTCTGTCTTGAAATCCGCACAACCTCTGGTCACAAGCGTTTCAGATTTCTGAACTTCTACTGTATTAATACTTGTATATACTTGAATCACATGCTTTTTTTTTTTTTTTTTTTTTTTTTTTTTTTTTTTTTTTTTTTCTGGAGTACTGGTTTGCTCAGATTCCCTCTTTTTTTTTTTCATTTAATTGTTGCAACATGTTTCATTTTTATATAGTGGGCGATGGTGTGGGAAGTTGTATATAGTCCTTATTTATTTTAAATATTGTCCTCATTCATTTTTGTAGTCTTTATTATACTGTACATTGTCCTTTTTTATTTTGGTAATAACTATGGTTACTTACTGATCCTGTGACTCAATTATTTTAATGCATGTGTGTATGTTAGTGCAAATTTCCCACTGAAAATATATCATAAAACTCTATTAATATACGTCTTCAACATATTAAACATGTTTTGGATATAAGAAACACAATTAATTCAAATAGACTCATGAATCTATGAATTTTTATGAGCAAAAATTTATAATTTTACGTGTGATATAGTGCAGAATATCAAAAACAAGGATGTGCAAGTTGTCAAAATATAAAATCTTTAAATGAAAGGAAAAATACTTTTTTGAGGAGATAAATACATTTAACAAATGCGTTCGGAGAAGATGATTTTGCTGCTTAAAATCATAATAACTAAATACTGAAAATTTAAAAAAAACATCTTAAATTGTTTAACCCTTTCAGTCCCAATTTATTTGTTTATTTCAACTGACTTGATTTTTTTTTTTTTTTTTTTTTATGTATTCTTGGTAATTATCACAAATGACATTAACAGAAATTGACAGTCTGTAACTAAGCCTCTATAAGAAGAGGCGCTCGACAATTTTGTAGTGGGGATGTTAGAAATGATGCCTACTACCAGTGGGACATTAGCTATGTAGTAAATTGATGCGTGTAATTCCCTCTAGGCTTCTTTAAACATCTACTGGAAAAACCCAGAAAAGTTTAGTTCAGAGTTTTCCAAACATGTTTAAAGTCGCCCTTCCTTGTTTGTTTTTGATAAAGCCCTTTGCCTCTTTTGCATATACGTATTCGTACATACAGGTTTATTTAATTAATATATAATTTCATCTATGAATTATATTAAAAATAGATAAATTTAATTGACAATTTTTCTTTTTCTTTCTTTTTTTTGGCCAAACTTCAGCAATAACGAATAATGAATAATACAACAATTTTAATCTTTTTCCAATAAAATTACATATCCATGTAGTTCGATTAAGGAGGCGAAACTTCCCGATTATACGTATATGATAAAACATCATAAATTTCAAACTTTGTCGCTGAGAATGGAAAATATTTAGAATCTGAGGAACAAGATTTTCCAAAATTAAATATTTTTTTTAATTATATAAATTTTAAGCAGTGTATTTTCAGAACTGTGCAATATGAATTTATTTCTTTTTTTTATTATTTCTTTATTATTAAATACTTCAGACCAATAAGAGAAATATACAGATTTTCCTGAAACATGTTTTAATCTGTCAAAATTAACTTTAAAAATTTGGTATCCGGTCTTTATACACAAAAATTATAAAATTTGCTTTACAATGTAATGTAATTAAGCTTCCCATCGCTCAACAAAAGCTCACATGACTGTTTTTCTTTATGTCTCTCGTTTTCAGAACGTCTGTTCCTGTACGATTAAATCTATATAATAACAGGACCAAATAATTCTAAATTAAAATGTAATCTTAATTCTAAATTAAAATCTAATCTTAAAAAAAAATTATACAAAATGAAATTTAGAATTGTACATAGCCCCTTAAAGAATAAATGATGATATATCTAACATCTACGGCCTTGAAACAGCATCTACGGCTTTACGAACTGGGAATATGATTTTTTACGAATCATTATTAATTAGGAGTATGATCTACGGCTTTACGAATTAGGAATATTATTAGACCTTTATGACGAAAACGATTAAAAAAAATAATCGATGTAACCTCTACATTGATATACATATTGCACAATTTTCCAAAAAGCTAGTTTAAATTTATATCTGATTATCCACATAACACAATCACATGATTAATTCTATTAAATTTAAATCTCTTTTATAGAATATTTCACATTTAGTACATCTGTATAATAGATTTCATTAAATGTAAGGCAATTCTTATGTAAAATCTAAATAATATATTAATTTATTTAAAAAGTTATATAAACTTGCGGTGATATTTATGATATGATACTAAATAAATTGCTATAAATGTTGGTTTGGTTTATTTAATTATGGCTGTTTGAAATTAGATGAATTTCTTTACTTATTTAATAAAATCGGACGAATGGTAATATATTTAGCAGAGAAAACCTTTTTAATTAACAACGAACTATTTTATTTAACATTCTAAACATATAAAAAAGAATAACATCCCATGCGTTATCATGCTCAAAGTAATATGTAAACAACATCACTGTTGCCACAAAAAAATCTACATTATAATGAACATATTAAATTATTGTTTATTAACTGAGTTCGTGCACGTTCCTGAACATCCTCCCACCTTGCAATTTTAGGAAATTGCAACATATTCTCTACTCAGTTCAGAGATTCAGTCGATGAGGAACTTTTACTTGTCTTCCGACCCTAGTGGTTATGGGTCTGCCTATTGTAGGGGACTCAGTCAGAGGCTCTGAGGTATCAATCTGACCATCCAGAGCTGTTGGTAGTTGGGGGGAACTTCTAAGATCCGCATCTTGATCTGGATTTAACGAGACTTGAGGCTGAGGTAGCTCTGAGGGACGAGTCACTTCTAAAGGCTGCAGGTTTTGGACGGGTCTTATTTTTTCTCCGTCAGCCGTTTTTACTTTTGCCACTTTTACATGACGATCTGCACCTGGAAATACTTGGACAACAAGTCCCAGTGGCCAGTTGATGCGCTTTTCCGGAGTTCCAATCAGCACCACATCACCCACCTCTAAAGTGTCTCCTTTTCGTTCTCTTCTATGGACTAGCATGGCTAGGTACTCATTTCTGAATCTCGAGCGTAAAGCAATCCGAAGATTTTGTAAATACCGCAAGCGACGATTTAAACTTTTGCTATCTATAGTATCCAGATCCTTTACATCATGGTGAGGGATTCCTTGTATAAAATATGCAGGTGTCAATGGCTTTAACTCCGCAGTCCCGTCTTCTAAGTAAGTTAAGGGTCGTGAATTCATTGTTGCTTCACAGTCGCATAGTATAGTTTCCAGCTCAATGTAACTGACCGTTTTAGAGCCCAAAACTCGTCTTAAAAGATCTTTTACCATCCGTACCAACCTCTCCCAAAATCCTCCCCACCAGGCAGCGGTTGGAGGATTAAATTTCCATTTAATCTTCTCAGCTCCATTATTTTCCCCCAATCAAGTTCGTTTAGTGCATTATTCGTATCTACAAAGTTGGTACCATTGTCAGTATATAAGATGCTTATTCTACCCCTTCTTGCAATGAATCTTCGGAGTGCCATTATAAATGAATCTGCTGATAAAGATTTCGTCAATTCAAAGTGTACAGCACGATAGATCGCACAAGTAAAAATCACAATCCATGCTTTTTCGCCAGACAATACATACAATGGGCCAGCCAAATCGATGCCAGTGACCTCAAAAGCTCCAGCATATTTAATGCGGTCCTTTGGTAAGGGTGCAACTGGTGGTTGAACTGATTTGCCTTTGAATCTTTTACAAATAACACACTTTGAACAAATTCTCTTCACAAGACGTCTCACACCGACAATCCAATAATCTTCTCGCAAGTTGCAGATCAAGGTCCCTGTACCTGCATGTTGCAGTCGCCGATGTTTCTGTTCTATTAGGCGATGAACTAGTGCATGGTTCCCTGGCAATAGAATAGGACACTTAAAGTTTTCGTCTTCGTCACTTAAAATTAGTTTGGTTCTTACTCGAAGAAGTCCAAAGTCATCCTTAAATGTAATCATCCCTTTCAAATTTTTTCCATCAGTATTCCGAAAGTTTTCGGCTTGGATTAAATATAACAACCTTTTCTGTGCAAAACTCACTTCTTCTGAGGTTAATTCCTTATTAAATTTTTCGTTTTTTCTATAACGACTGTTGTTAAGAAATCTAAAGGATCCAAGCTAATACTCTCACATTTTTATAATATCCAGAAAATCGAGTGAATGTTTCTGTAAAGTTTGGGGTTCTACAGGAAACGCTAGAAACCACATTTTTCCTTTTTTCTGAATTAACTGTACTTTCATCAGTTTCTAGTTCTGACTCTTCAGAGAGAGGCCATTTATCCGGCTCCTGTTTAAGCCAATCCGGCCCCTCCCACCATCTGCTCTGTAGCAACATTTTGGCATCGCACCCTCTAGAGGGAAGATCAGCTGGATTGCTTAAGCTTGGTACATAATGCCAGTCGTCCGGATTTGTGCATCTCCTTATTTCAGCTACACGATTGGCCACAAAAACACTCCAGTGGGAGTCTTTTTTTTATCCATGTCAGAACTACAGACGAGTCGCTCCAAAAGTACACTTGGCACTTTGTCAATTTAAGAGCGTCAATGACTTGACGGTACAGCCGAGAAGCTATAAGTGCTCCAAGCAACTCTAATCTGGGAATAGTTACTTACTTCTTTGGCAGGTGCTACTCTTGATTTACATAATACCAATTGTACTGAAGTTTTGCCCTCAAAATATGCACGTAAGAAAATGCATGCTGCATAAGATACCTTACTAGCATCACTAAAACAATGTAGAGAGATAGAGCAGTCATCGAAAGGTCCAATCACAAGTCTTCTTGAAATTTTACAATAATTCAAGAAGTGTAGTCTTTTGAGCCAAGCCTGAAATTCTCTTTCTATACCTTGTGGAAGATTTTCATCCCAGGAAAGTTTCATCTTCCATGTTTTTTGCAGAATGAGTTTTGGAATTAACGTGGTTGGACTTGTAAATCCGATGGGATCGAATATCCTCTGTGAGACTGACAGAAGAGATCGTTTCGTGTGGGCACTCTCCGAAAATGTCAAAGGGGTTAAATTGCAATAGATTTCATCATTCTCGGTGTCCCATGAGAGTCCCAGAATTGGAATGACCTTCTGATAGGAAGTCATGCTTCTATCTTTGAATGGTGCAGCAGTCCACCCTCTAAGGTCAAAACCTCCTGAAGACATTAGAGTTTGGGACTCTTCTTTGAACTTGACTACTTCTTCTTCAGTTTCGAAACTAGCTATACAATTGTCGACATAAAAGGATTTCTTCAATCTAAGTGCCGTTCCTCTTAAATCTTGTGGAGCATTATCCAAATGGTAAGAAATCGTTGCTCCCAACAGGAATGGACTCGAAGAAATGCCGAACACGACACGACAGTGTCTGTAGGTAATAATCTCGGTTTTGTTTGAATCTTTCCACCACAGGAATTTCAAAAAGTCTCTGTCTCTGACACACAAACTGATTTGTAAGAAAGCTTTCCTTATATCGGCAGTAACACCAATTGCATGTTGCCGGAATTGTATCAAAAGTTTTGGAAGCATTTCTATTAAATTCGGCCCCTTTTCGAGGCAAGCATTCAAGGAATTCCCATTTTCATCCTTCAATGATGCATCAAATACAGGTCGCACTTTCGTAGTCAGACTGGAATCCTTGATTACTGCTTGATGAGATAAATAGTGACCAGTATCACTATTATTCGGAGCTATTTCAATTATACCTTCCTCGTGCCATCCTTTGATAATACCATCATATTCTTCGAAAAATCCCATCTTCTGCAGCTTTCGTGTATTGGCGAAAAGTCTTTTTTCCGCTTTATCTTTATTATCTTCAAGAATCCGATGACTATCCTTCCAAGGCAAACAGACTTCATACCTATTGCCCTCGATTACTTTAATGTTCTCTAGGAAAAATTTGATCGTTTCATTGTCTAAATTCTCCTTAGTCTTCACTTCCGCCGGATCTTTATGCCAATTGTCTCTAAATTCCATAGTTCTGTGAGATCCAAATACAAAGTCCGACGGTGCCAAGCAAGGTATTATAACTTTGCACTGGGCCTTTTAGGGTCCAACCCAATTTTGTTTCAGTGGCAATAAGGTTTTTGTCAATTGGAATGATATTATTCGTCATCAACTGTCCGGAATAGTCGGCTCCTATTAACAATCCTATATCTGGTACATCTCTTCCAGAATCACTGATTTTGATTTTATGATCTCGAAGTGAGGAACATATATGTTTGAGTTTCACCTTAGGAATGTATCCACAAATTTTGTCTTTTTCTAAAACCTATAATTCGTATTTGAATTTATTTTCCGTTCCTTGTATTTCGATATCAAAAATACCATGGACTGAACCTAAGATTCAGTTTCAACTCCACCAAACAAATTGTGGCTCAAAGTCTCTTGATCTAATGGGACTAAATCTAGTCTCTTTATTATGTCTTTCCGTAAGTAAGATATTTGTGACCCACTGTCAAAAAAAAGTTCTCACAAACTCCTTTTTTCCATTATGGACAATCTTCACCATAATAGTTTGGAGAAGAGTTGTTTGCAGTTTTTGGTTAGACAATAAAGTCTCTCTTGTTTCGTTAGCTGCTTTAGGTGCTTCCTTTTTTGAACTTCTAGAACCTTTTAGTTCTCTGCACATCACCGTTACATGACGTTTGTTGCAAACTAGGCGTTTCACAGAACTTTTTGCCCAATTTTTAGGCAGTTAAAACAAGCTTTTTCTTTCTTAATAAATTTTTCTTATCTTCCAATGAAAGGCTGTGCAGCTTAAAGCACTCATAAGAATTATGTGTTTCCTTGTCACACCAAACACAAAAATTAAGCTGTTTCTTCTTTGAATCTCCTGTATAAATGCAAGCTGCTGTGGCTGGAACCGAGTCCAATTTGTCTGGAGCAGAAAAACTTGTACGGGCCAACTGAAGACGCTCTTCACTTTCAACTTCAATTCGGAGAAAATGCAATAAATTTTCCAAATTTTCAGTGTGTGCCACACTTTCCCTACGCTGGCGAGATCGCTCCCATGCCCTCAGAATTTCTTCAGGTAGTGAAGACTCTATACAGCAGGGGATACAGCATAGCTGCATAAATCTCACTTTTTACCCCCAACGTCTCCAAAGCTCTGAGTTGCGCCTCTAACTTATCATATAAGTTGGATAGAGTCATATTTCCTTTTTTTGCTAGCTTGAGCCAAAACCAACTTTAATAATTCGCGAACATAGATTTCTACCAGTAATTCGTCTCGTGCAAATCGAGATTTTAGCTGCTTGATAGCTTCTTTATAATTCGCGCCAGAGGGAGGATAACTATCTATGAGCTCTCTCGCTGGAGATCCAACGACCGTTGCCTGCAATAGGTATTGAAATTTGTCATCGTCATCTATATTTACATCTTCGTCAATCTTCTTAAACTGTCCCCAAAATCCTAACCAATTTCGGGTCTCCCCATTGATTTTTTGAAGCTCTAACTTTGGTAATTTAAAGTTCCTTTTCGTGGAATTTTCTAAAATTCCAGGTGTAATTACAGGAGTGGAATTCACCATTTTGTCTACTTTTGTTTTTAAACTGATATATTTATCACGATATGTTTCATTCGTGTCAAAATCAGCTAAATATTCACTTTCGTTTTGACCTTCCAATAAAAGTTTGGAAATTTGTGATTGAACTTCATCTAATCTGTTGAATTTTCCTTCCAACTGTGAGCTCAATACTTGGAGTTGATTAATCTCCATGTCAGGCTTTAGAATTTCAGCCTCTAAAGCATTGGCAGTAATCGTAAACGATTGCCTTAGTGGCTTACGCATTTTTAATAAAAATTCCATGATTTTAAATTCAATATGTCCAATATTTCAAATAATAAAGGATATAATCAAATAAATCATAAACTCACTTGATAAATTCCAATACGAAATCGATGTTTCGTTTTCAACCGTTGTTTCGTTTTCTTCAAATAACCATTCCGTCCTGTCAAAGGCCGCCAGTTCTTTGAAATTAGATCAATTTCTTTACTTATTTAATAACTTCGGACGAATGGTAATATTTAGCAGAGAAAACCTTTTTAATTAACAACGAACTATTTTATTTAACATTCTAAACATATAAAAAAGAATAACATCCCATGCGTTATCATGCTCAAAGTAATATGTAAACAACATCACTGTTGCCACAAAAAAAATCTACATTATAATGAACATATTAAATTATTGTTTATTAACTGAGTTAGTGCACGTTCCTGAACAATGGCAAAGCACACTAAGGCTATCTGCCTAAGGGAAGGGATGCCTTCGTGGAGGACTTTCTAAGGGAAACTGGCTCGTATACACGTTACACATGGGGGAAAACCACGAAAACGCCCATGCAGCCAGCCCGTTCGCGGGATTCGAACTTCGGACTGAACTACCAGTGTTCAGCGACTTTACCGCTCGGCCGCTGGTGGGCCGCTGTAAATTTTGGAAAAATAAGAAAATAGATATACATTTTTCTAGAAACATTTAAATTTTTCTGGAAACATGTTTACTGGAAGTTTTTCAGGGACATTTTTTTCTAACGCCGTGCATAATAACAATACCCTGTGTAATAGATTTTCGTAATGATAATTTTTTTATGAAATAATTACAGTTGCTCATTTATACGCACTTCCTGTTATGAGGTAATCCACATTACCTTAAATGGTCGAATTCCACACGATGTAACAAAAACCTAATTAAACAACACTTAATTAAAAGACTTAATTACTGCAAAGCTGCATAAAATATTTATCAGGACAGTAAACAACACATATTAATTCATTGAGGTTTAAATATCACTGTCTTTCATGTTATTTTTTTTCCATCCAATTCCCTTCTAAGTTATGTATTCTAGTTGAGTATTTCTTTCTCTTCTTCATTGTTTCGGTTGTGTTATTATGTAAGAAGTATTTAAATTCTTTATAAAATACACCAAAAAATTGTTAGCAAATAATAAATGCATCGCACAATCTATATACTACATTTACGTATAAATATATAATTAAACAACATGTCTAGAATTTAATTGCATACTTTCGACATGTACATATCGTTTTCGTAAAGAGTCTCTTATCAGATGTCTCTTTGTTTACACGATAGTCTAGGTTATTTAAATATGGCAATGCTTTCTAAAGGAAATTAGCTTGTATTCACGTTACACATACGCGAAACCAACCATGAAGCCAGCCTCTTCGCCTGAAATGGCACTGCGTTCAGACTCCTAGCATTCAGCGATTTTAACCATTCAGCCACTAATAGGGTTCATGCTTACAGTAAGATTAAAGATTATAATTTACAAATTGGAATGCTTTGCAAAACGTTTGTTAAAATAAAATTTAATATGAAACAAAAAGACTGAATAAAAATGGAAATGCGTCATAAAAAATGTGCAGAGTGACTTTGGAGCTTTAAATTTGAAGCTCATTTCTAATTTTCCTGGGCCCACCAGCGGCCGAGTGGTAAAGTCGCTGAACTCTGGTAGTTCGGTCCGAGGTTCAAAAAATGGGCGTTTTCGTGATTTTCCCCATGTGTAACGTGTATACGAGCCAATTTCCCTTAGAAAGTCCTCCACGAAGGCATCCCTCCTCTTAGGCAGATAGTCCTCGAGGCTTTGCCATAATCACACACACACACTAATTTTCCTGGTAGACTCAATCTTAAGTTTCTCAAGTACACGATTTTCTTTTAGTGTTATAGTATAATAGTGGCTGTGATCCATATACATATGGTACTCGCTGCTCGACAATACATGGATAAATATCGATAGAGACCCCGAGATACTTAATTAATAAAGTACTTCTGATAAAACTCATCATTCAGCTCATTACAATAGTCCAGTTGTACAAAAAAATACGTCACAAAATGCTTTTTACCACTTTACTTAGAGTATAATATGCTTATATAACACATCTCTATACGATATAGAGAACTAAAACTTGGATGTTGGATTATTGTATTTTTTACTTTCTTCTCATTTTAATTCTACACAAATATTTTCTTTCTAACTAGACTCATCTCTCTCTCACTCTCTTTATTTTACTTCTAATTGCTTATCATGAAATTTCAGTCTAATTATTTTAAGATTCAATTATTATCTGTTATTTGATTTAAAGACTTTTTCTTTGGGTTTGAACCATTTAAAAATAATGAAATAATTTATTCCGATTTCAAAAACTCTGTTTACTAGCTTTTCTCAGCAAAGATACTAATACCGTCACATGAAAGGAACCTCGAGTTTAATTTCTATTAAATTTTTAATCCATTTCCAGCACTATGCACAAAAAGTGCTCATTAGTTTTAAACTACCAATAATCATTCGAGATACACAAAAAATAAACTAAATTGTAAATTGCTTAGCTGTTATTTTTCAGTTCACAGAAATCTTCCTGGTGTTCAACTACTAATAAACATATGCTAACGGTGTTCAGTGATGGAACACCTGCTTATTTTTAGTTAACAAACTGTAAAACGTTATTTGATCCTGAAGGGTAAACAGCTGGCTCCTCCTTCGAGAAAACCATTGTTTGACAGTTAGGTAAATAATGTATGTCTGATCCCCCTAAGTCAGGGGTCGCCAAACTTTTTTGATCATGGCCCCCTATATAATTTTTCGAAATCTCCATAGACCCCCACAAAGGTAATTTTCAGGTAATTAAAATAAAACTATATATTAGTCTAAATATTTAATAAATCAGAAACAGTAAGTAAAGTAGCTACAGATTTTTTACTTCTTAATGAGATGAGTGTGCCTGGTGTTTCTTGGCAAGGTTCGCTATATTGGGTTCGAAATTAGTCAATTTTAACCGTAAATCCCGTCGAAGCTCCACATTTAATTTATTTCTGTTATTAGTTAAAATATTTCTGTTTTTAGTTTAGTTCTGTTTTTAGTTAGATTCCCTTCGCGCTTAATGCATAGAAAGCCAACGGCAGTGTCGTCGCTCGCCAAGTCTGCGCCAAAGGCTCCTAATTGGTTGATGGGTTC